TTATATGATTCCGAATTGTTTATTCATTTCTCCCGTTTTTGTTTAAGCATTAATGTACCACAGTACCCGAACATTTAATGGAGGAGCAGCTTGTCTTTGTTTAGTAGAATCTAAATGAACCAATAATGTTTTCATTTCTCTTAATCTATTTTGTCTGCTTCCAGAAGATTTCAAAGCATTTTCTAATTTGCCTTTAGTTTCTCTATTTAAATGCTCTAATTCTTCACGAGTATTAGCTTCATCAAATACCATTTGATTAATTTTTTCAAACATTCCATTTATCCAATCATCAATTTCTTGTTCCAAAGATATTTTACTTGATTGAATTTTTGCGCAAAGGGATTGTTCATCAGAAAGAGAAATGGCCAAAGCTGAAAGATCACGTTTAAGGTAAGCACGTTCTTCAATATGTTGATCAACTTGAGCGAGTAAAGTATTGCAACTGGAGCAGAAATTTTCAGATTTAGAAACGGAACTAGAAGGACGTAAAATATCATTTGTAATATGATCGTCACCATCCTGATCATAATCAATTTCTTCAGGTTCTTCATGAAATTGAGAAATGATATGATTTTCAAAACTAGATAAATCATCATCATCATCATCATCATCAGATAAAGCATCAGATGAAGTATCAGAAGAAATATCAGATGAAGCATTATCATGGACATTAACATTGTCATTATCACAATCATTTTCATTAATAAATTCATTATTATTTTCATTAATAATTTCATTAACATGATCATTGTTGATAGAAGTCAAGTCGTCATTATCATCATCAGACATAAAAGCATCAAAATCAGCAATATCTTCCGAACCATCCAAATCATAATCATCAAGATCAGGTATATCGTCCAGCGAAATTTGACTACCAGTAATAGATTCTCTTCGAGAATTAATAGATTCTCTTCGAGAATTAATAGATTCTCTTCGAGAATTATTATGGAGAACTGGTCGGTTATTATTTACAGAAACATTTGTAATAACATTATTTACAGCATTATCAGAGACAGGATCAAGTTGAGGGATAACTAATTCAACTTTATAATCAGAATCGTTATTAGAAGAAAGAAGTTTTGAATCATGTCGTACGGGTAATGAAGGTCTTTTGTAACTTTTACGAGATTTTTGATTATTTTGAGCAGATTTTAAATAATTTAAACATAAATTGATACTATCCAAGAATTGACCTTCCAAATCAGTAGATTCAACAGCAGTAGCATTATCATCATCATCATCTTTATTAACATCATCATCTTTATTATCATCATCTTTATCATCATCTTTATCGTCATCTTTAAGATTTTGTGCTTTAATTATTTCTACAGCTCTTACTAGAATAGTTATGGCTGCACGAGCACCATATTCAAGACGACTAGTTTTTGTTTTTAGATCATGAATATATTCATCTTTTTCGCCTAATTCTTGTAGCAATTGATTACGTTCCTGTTCATGCATTTCATTTATATTCTGGTTTATATATGATTAAATAACGAAAAAAAGTCAGTAAAATTGTAGTGAAAATTGTAGTGAAAATTATGGTAAATTTTGTGAAATTTAAAATTTGAATCGAAAAAAAGTCAATAAAATTGTAGTGAATTTTGTAGTGAATTTTGTGAATTTTAAAATTCGAATCGGTCATTTTGATCCCGACTCTGTATGATACTTTGTATAAATACAGATATATATGATATATTTCGTATAATATTTCTTATGATATTTCGTAAAATATTTCTTAATGATATTTCGTAAAATATTTCTTAATGATATTTCGTATAATATTTCGTATAATATTTTCTTATGATATTTCTTATGATATTTCGTATAATATTTCTTATGATATTTCGTACAATATTTCTTATGATATTTCGTAAAATATTTCGTATAATATTTCCGTTTAATATTTGTATATGCAATATTTCACACAC